AGAATATATCTTCTGAACAAAACTCCGCATTGGCAACAGGGAAGGCATCTGGCCAGTAAAAACTGTGCTAGCTCCATTCAGTTGCCCAGACTCCACCCTGCAAGGGATTATGGGGTCATTAAAAGAAGATGACAAGAAGAGGGGAAGCTGACTCAACGCCAGGACTTGTACAACACGATTGCAGAGTAAACATAAACTACAAGTAGTCCTCGACTTACAACAGTACATTTAGTGACCGTTCAGAGTTACAACGGTCTGCTGCAACAGTTGTAAGTGTGAAAAACAGTGATAAGTCACTTTCCCCGGTGTTGTCGTAACTTTGAACAGTCACTAAATGGACTGTTGTAAGTTGAGGACCATATATCTACGAGCCACGGTGGTGCAGTGGTTAGAGTGCAGTACTGCAGGTTACGTCTGCTGACTGCCTGCAATTTGATAGTTCGAATCTCACCAGGCTCAAGGTTGACTCGGCCCTCCGTCCTTCCGAGTCTGGTAAAACGAGGACCCAGATTGTTGGTGGCAAGAGGCTGACTCTGTAAACTGCTTAGAGAGGGCTTTAAAGCACTGTGAAACGGTATATAAGTCTAACTGCTATTGCTATCTCAGTAAATATACAAGGAGTCAGTTGACTTTGGAGTTTTTGGGGTTCTGTGGTTCTCTTAAGGACCAACTATGAGTTGTGAATGAAACAGGAAATTTGTGATCCAAGGATAATCATGTTAAGCTGTTTCTCTTTTTCCTTCTCTAGTGCCACAATGGCAACTGCACCTTACAACTATTCCTACATCTTTAAATACATCATTATCGGTAAGTCTAAAGCTCCTTTGGAAACGCCTTATTATTTCTGCTACAGCACACTTCCAGATGCTGTTGACTGCAGCTGGTGTTGGGATAATAGAAGTTGTGGGAAGAAGATCTTGCCTACCAACGAGTAAAATGCAAAAAAAGGGATCTATTTTCGGGATATGTCAAATCATCCCCTGTGTGCGAGGCTCGGTGGAAAGGTGGCATACAATGTCACAAGTCACAGACGCTTTTGTTTGTGGTGCATTTTAATTGGGTGGTCTTGAGGGGTTTGTCCCCATTCATCCAAAAGCAGGATTTGGTTTATTTTTAATGCTTGGACTGCTGCATTATTTCACAGGTGAATTAGTGTTCTCCTGTGCGCTGCTTGGGGAATTCAAGCATGGGTTAACTTGTCCATTAGCTTTGAGACTGAGTTATGCAAATTGCTGGCCATGCCTCCTCTGACTGGACTGGTTCAGGTTTTTTAACTCAGTCCAGCCTAAAGAGACGCAAAATAATTCAGTCTGGCCAGAATTTTGGATTTCATTCAGGTAGAATGATTTACCCTTTAGACACTTCCTTCAGTGGCTACTGTGCTGCTCACTTTTGATCTTTGTTATGTGTCCCATATTGGGTAAAGGCTACTCCGCGTTAGAGCTGGTGGAATAGTCTCCTAGGGCTAAACACCACTCATTCCTGGTATGTGATTTTAGACTCTCTTGCTATCCAGCTTCGAAATAGTCCTCAGCTCAGAAACATTCATTTATCGACCACTTGAAGCTACAACAGCACTGGGGAAAAAGGGGCATACCAACTGGCATGGATTTACAGTGGTTGCAGGGTCCTGGGGTCATGGACCGGCATTTGTGACTTTCCCAGCCTGCTTGCAACAAGCAAGCAGGAATCCCGGCCCCAAGTACTAATTATGATAAGAAGTCCAGGTTTACTTTTGTAGTGATTTGAGATCTTTCTTGGCCTAAACATGTGCGCACACGATAGGATCAGACACGAGGTGGCTTGTTTGTTTTCAGTGTGATTATATAAACCATTGTTTTAATGCCTAGCAAGTTGTAGAAAACGTACGTTACGTTCCCGAGCGGGAAATACAGCTAGCGTATTCATGTTACTCATCCGTGCTCTTTCGAAGAAATGTAAGAAGTGGGAACTTTTCCCTCCTGACTTTCAGTTACAAATTCTGTAATAGCGATACCAGGAAAAAAAAAAAGATTCCAGAGCAATTCTTAGTAGCATTATGCAGTACTTTTCATTCCCCCTCCCACCTTAAAAAAAAAAAGCTTGCATGGCACTTTCATTAAGGAGGAATGCTGATCGTGGATTATTACACCATCTTTGTGGGAGAAAAATGGCTCCATATTATTATTCCATAGATAACTTCTGCGATAGATACTAAGTCGAGGCCACAATGGTAACAGTTCATTTCTAAATATTCCTCTCTTTTCTCTCCTTTTTTCCCCCTCTTCATTTTAAGGTGATATGGGTGTAGGAAAGTCCTGCTTGCTCCATCAGTTTACAGAAAAGAAGTGTAAGTGTGCACATCTCTTCCTAATTGTAGTAGTAACTACCACATGTCTTTTATCCTCTCCGCTTTCCCAACATGTTAATTTTAGGCTTCTCTTATGTTATTAAAGCTGCATTACAAAATGGGAATGGTTCTGGATTTCACTGAAGCAAAATGCCTTCTATTATGTAATATACAATCAGGATTGGTTTAATGTCATGAATTTTTGTTCAGAGATAGGCTTAACAACCAAAGATTTATACATATGCTGATGACTAGAGTTGGGGGAGGTTTTGCCAGAACCCTTGCCTATAAAGTAACATGCAGTAGAACAAGTTGGAAAATAGTTGTTCACATTAATAGAAAAAAACACAACTGCTGGTTTTGGGGCTGCCCTTTAGCTGAGGTGGTGGGTTAAGCAGGCCTTCAGGGACGACATGCCTGCTCCTCGTTCATGGGGATCCCTGTGAACGGAAGTGTTAGGTAATAAGTGCTTTCTCGTTTTTGTTTCGTTTTGTCTCCCAGTTATGGCAGACTGCCCCCATACAATTGGAGTCGAGTTTGGTACCAGGATAATTGAAGTTAGCGGCCAGAAAATTAAGCTGCAGATCTGGGACACGGCGGGACAAGAGAGATTCAGAGCTGTCACACGGAGCTACTACAGAGGTGCTGCAGGAGCCCTTATGGTTTATGATATCACTAGGTAAGGTGATGGAGATGCCCTTTTGCTGTGGTTTGAACCCAGGGCTGCCTGTCCCTTAACTCACTGTGGTTTAGCCTGATGCTCTTTTAGCTGAAACTGGCTTCTGGAACAGGGACACGGTGGCTTAGGGGCTAAGATGCTGAGCTTGTCGATCAGAAAGGTCGGTGGTTCGAATCCCTAGCACTGGGTAACGGAGTGAGCTCCCCTTACTTGTCCCAGCTTCTGCCACCTAGCAGTTTGAGACGCTGAGCTGGTCAATCAGGAAGGTGGGCAGTTTGGTGGTTCGAATCCCTAGCACTGGGTAACGGAGTGAGCTCCCCTTACTTGTCCCAGCTTCTGCCACCTAGCAGTTTGAGACGCTGAGCTGGTCAATCAGGAAGGTGGGCAGTTTGGTGGTTCGAATCCCTAGTAATGGAGTGAGCTCCCGTTACTTGTCCCAGTTTCTGCCAACCTAGCAGTTTGTAAAAAATGCAAGTAGAAAAATAGGAGCCACTTTTGGTGGGAAGGGAACAGCGTTCCGTGCACCTTCAGCATTTAGTCATGCCGGCCACAT